TAGAGCCAGCAATCAATATCTTATGTTAATAGATTGATTAGATACCCTCCTCTATGAACATGTCTTGTTGAATGCATAAAGAACCAATTTTCTGGTTCAAAATCTATTTCAAAAATTTTTTTTCAAGGTGAGTAGGTTTTTGTGTTTTTTCATTTTCCTGGCTTATTGAAATCATTAATAACATAAACTATATAGATTTATCTAAGTTATTTTAAGAAATCCTGTTGTTTTCTGCAGAATATAAACGTCTTAAACCAAAATATTAAATTAAAGTAAAGTTATATGCTATAAAATGGAGAATTTGTCATTATCCTGGCTGTCATTTACTTGGCTTATGAATGCCAGGACATTGAAGTGTTACCAGAATTTTTTTTTAACTGCTATTACTGTAAGGAGGGAAAGCAAATCTTAACCTAATACCAAGTTTATGTATGATTGTAATATGCTTGGATGTAACAAAGTTATTTATTTAATGATTGATTATTATACGCAATTTTATTCTGTACATATCAGCAACAAATTTTTTTTCTTTCTTTCTACAGTGGATAAAAATAATTATTTTAAGCAGTTTATGGTCCATTTAACATAAAGGCTTAAGTTGAGTTACTTACTATTAACTTAAAATGACTGTTTTTTAAACTTCTAAGCTAATATGTCATTTTCCTGGCATTCAAGATTTGGTGAATTTCCATTTTATTTTTTTTCTCGAGCAAATGTCTATAAACTACGCTGCTGCCTGTAAGATATTAATAAATGTAACTAAAGAAGTATACAAAAAATTTTTAGATTATTTTGAAAACTTTAAATTTGAAAAAAATTTTTGGTCCGAATTGTCATGTTTAAAAAGAATCACCCATGCACAAAATGAAATTTTAAGCAAAGTGCCTTTTATTTTAATCGCACGTAAATAAATAAAAACATATTAATTTGGAATAACTAACTATATTAGCACATTTTGCAGTGATTTGGTGATGGTCTCAGGAACTCGGACATTTAAACTGTGGCGGAGAAGAAGATAGAATTAAAGTCATCTCAAGCAAAGAAACAAGTAAAAACTATGTCAGCAAAAATAATTGCTATAGAAAACGTCATCTTAAACGGATATTAGAAAAGGGGCTATTTTTGGGGTTGGTGAATGAACGAACGGAATGGCTGCATCAAGTGCGCTGCTGACAGACGTTTAGGAACTCTGAGAATTCTATTTAAGGGTGCTGCGTAATCTTTTTCTTTTTTATATAAAAGAAAAAGTAAGGTTATTTCACTAAGCGTTTAACATCCATCAAAGAAGAGGTTAAGAATACGGGGTGGAGCGGCACTATTTTACTAAATTTGAGTTACTAACTGTTCCACAAGTCACAAATGACAAAAATGTTCTAAATAATGGCGTTAAATGGTTGCTTAAAATATAGAATCTAGATGGAAAGTCATTTCATTGCGCTTAAAACTTGTTTTTACTGAAAAAAAAAAGAAAAAGAAACATTAGAGGGAACGAGGTTATACGTCTGAAATAAAAGAGATAATCCTTTTAGAGTTCAGCCACGATTCATATGTATTAAAGAAAATAATATATACAATATTGTTTGTAAAAAAAATAAACTGTAATACAATACTAATTAATAAATTGGCAAAGTATGCAAATGATACATATTTTGAAAAAAATGTTAAGGGACTTTTTTCCTCTGGACGAAGGAAACGTAAGGGCAAGCAAAATATCACGATTTCTTTTTTAAAAAAATTAGATTTTTATGTTTATGTTACTTTTGCCAATTAAAGCTCTGATAAGATATATTAACAAGGCTTAATATTATTTAAAAACATGTAATTACAATTATAGTGATTAATATTTTTAACTTAAAATGTTTAAAATTATTACAAATTAATCACTGAAATCATATATATTTTTTTCCAAGCTCAATCCCGTATGAATTTGTAAAGACAAATACCCAATTTGTCAGTAAGACATCAAATAAAGAAAGCTGAGGAAACATAAGGAATCAATTAGTCTAAATTTCTCTTGAAAGAACAAGTATTTCTTCGTTATTTATAAACACAAACAAGGTATAAGTTTAAAAAGTTGTACTTGTATTTGGTATGTGAGTATAATTGAAATATGTTCATTAAACAGATAATTATTTTAAATACAGCTAATGGAAAGTTATGATTTATGAATTTCTCATTTTGTTTTTTTACATTAGGTCTTAATTTTTTTAGCTTATTTTGACCATTAAACAATAATTTACATACATTTTATCCCATTTCATTACTTCACGAAAAAAAAGTTTTATATTAATGAAATCAGACTTTAAAAAAACCACAATCATTAGTGTGTATTTATAAATAATACCTTATAAAATATTTTTGACTCTATGATTTATTTATTTTAAACCAAGTGATTTAAATCAATGATTTTTAAAAAAAAATGTCGAGTGATTTAAAACGCGATTTAAATACGGGCTTAAACCATGCCAACCCTAGTTAAGGCATGTGATGAGTTATACTATCCCAGTTAAATTTTTTCTCTTTAGCTTATCATTTAAAGATTAATTACTTTTCATAAATTGTGAAAAATGTTTATTAAATTGAAAAAAAATAATAACAAGCAGTTTGTTCGTTCGAATTCAGGATTTGTTATTTGGAACAAATTTCTTGCAACTATCACTTAAGAATGTCAATAGATTTCGGAAGAAATTCGACGTTTTCCTGCCACTTGAAGTTAATTAGGAAATAATTAATAATTACAATTACTTAAACAAAAATTTATTATTTTATAATTTGGGTTTTAATATCACAAGTATAAACAATACGGAATACACTTGACATCACTTAGTAAATGTTATTTATAATCATAAAAAAACTTTTTCATATGACACTGAAAAATAGTGCACTTATAATTAAACGATTAACGGAAAAAAGGGACAATGATAAGGGAAATCTCTAATAAGCATTCTAAAACAAAATTTAAAAAAAAAATTCGATAGCCTTGCTTATTTTTAAAGGATAAATAAAATTACTTTCACATTTGAAATTATTAAAATATAAGTTGAATACGGAATTGCTTAATAAATATTAAAACAAACAATTTATTTTCGGGAAATTATGAAATACTGTTTTCCAGTTAAAATTTTAAAAGAACCGAATATTTGATAACATTATGTAAAGATTGATAAAATTTAAAGGAAAATAACACTTGAAAATAATTTGTCTCTCTTTATTGAAAAATCATAATAGCCGTTGCCGGTATCCGATGTTTTGGTGCTCAACTTAACGTTACATTTAGTTATAACATTGCTGAGTTATGACATTGATTGTTATAACATTGTTTATTAACGTTACATTACATTGCTGAGTAAAAATTATAAGACTTAGAAATCTGAAAAGACTTAAATATGTTGAAAGATTTAGAGTAAGTACGACAGAATAATTAAATTTAATATTCCATAATTAGTTCGAAAATCAATAATTGTTAAGTTCGTAACAATTACGACGTGGGCCACTTACAGCGGCTGAAATACAACTGCAGAGATGAAATTAGACATGTTAAAAGGGCCATTTTTATTTGCGAGCTTTACGCAAGTTTTTGAAGAAAAAAAAACCCCAGTTAGTTCGAAAGTTACAGCAATTTTAAGTGCTTTTTTCGCTTTTCTCTCCCTCTCAGTTTCTGTTTTAAATAATGATTATTTATTTAGCCATTGTTTTAGGAAAATTTATTTATATCTCTCACGACATTTTTATTTTTTAGGCTAGCGCAAGAGTTGATGTCGGAAGTAACAAAAAGAAAGTAAAATATCAGATGTACACAGATAAAAATATTAATATTGAAATTTTTAATAATTAGAAAAAAACTAAATACAAGACAAATAGTTTGTTATTTGAATTGTTATAATGATATTAAATATTATTTATGATATTAAATAACGTTAGCGAGTGAAATTTATTCTCATTTATTTTTTCTAATTGAGTCATACACTTTACATTTCATGTTATCCAGGCTAATTTTTTTCAAGTGCAGTTTTTTTTAAAATTTCAAATCCAGGTAAACATCCGTTACATTACGATTAACATATTAACAAAATGTTCTTACATAAAACTATTATTATGTATTTTATAATCAAAATATTCTTTGCCTTTGGGGAAAATATTGACTTTTAAGGAAAAAAAACGAAGGTGAAGTAATCAAGCTGTTAATAGTTACAAATAATAATACTTGAGCTAATTGTTAAATATTATTCTATCGTATACCCTGTACATTTTTTAATACACATTTTCATCATTTCTAAATTCCATAGCTAATATTTTAGCGCACTAAAATGTAACACTCATAATAGAGGTTGATTGTGACAAAATTAGTTGGTACTAATAATTTAACATTGAAACAGATTTTCTAATAATCACGATTTCTATAATCTACATTTATTTCTTGAGTAAAACAGTTCTTATTCAAGAGATATTTTCTAAGTGTCGTCCTTCAAAAATAATCATTATAATTTCCTCCCTCTAGTTTCTGTTTAAAGCTACAAAGATTTGATACAAAATGGATTTATAAGAAACAATTTCTGTCAACGATTTATATTTTACTATTTGTAAAACTTACTGAATAAAAATTGTGAAAAGAACAACTACACATTTCTTAAAAATGAAACAAATTTTAAAAGGCTGAAATTGGATTTTTGGTGATATATAGACCATTAAACATTGCTTTTGTAAATTTTTAATTAAGAATTAAAAATTTACAAGATAGTTTTAGCAGAAATATCTAGTTCTAGTGAAACTAGAAACATATGTTGAAGAAAGGAAATCTTAATCATACAACGATAAAAATTATTCTGAGGAAAGGTTTATCACAACAAAGAAAGAATTTAAAAAATGATAACTTAGCTTGAATTACCAAATTCATTCAGTTTTTAACACTTCTAACGTTATCTATGACTGAAATTTTATTTAAGTATTTGAATTTGTTCTGAAAAATATATATATATGTATTTTTTTTAAAAAAAACTTACCCTCCGTTGATTTAAGATCAGGTAACTCGATAACAGGTTCACTCATAGAACGCATTGCAACACCAGAACTTTTGGGAATCATCGTTGAAGTTGATTGCTTTTCAAACTTTTTTTCAAGTTCTAACACGACGGGCGTTTTAGGGGACGGTCTTATTTCTATTGAATGAGCAATGGGCTTTGATAGATGGGCTTGCCGATCTTGAATTTGAGATTCCAATGAACATGAACCATCACTGATTTTCCATCCAGATTTATTTACTTTTGATGATGGCGAAAAAGGTGGTGGGGGAGGTGGAGGTGGGGGACATATATCTTCAGGTTGTTTGTTATGTGCTGGGAAGTCTTCTCTAGCTGAAGACAGATTTTCTGTTGCTTCCGCAGTATCTGCTAGTTTGTCCAGTGAGGGTGGCTGCAAGACTATGGTGAGTTCCGTACGGTGCTGAACTTCATTCTTAGAATTTGCTGCAGGATCTTCCTTCATAAAAATGGTGTTTCCATTCGGGGTGGCATCAATTGAAGTACGGGATGAATCAGAGCAAAACTTATTGGCTGTTATTTCTGAAAGTTCTGCTGTGAAGACACTATTTTGGACTTGAGATGGCTTCAAACAGTGAGCAAAGTCGCAATTTCCAACTTGTTTATCTTTCGAAGTTACATCTGGAGATTTTTGAGATGGAATGACTTGGGATGCAGGATCCGGAGAATATCGGGGAGCTGATGATTTTGCGCTAATTTCAGCCAGAAACGGACTATTTAGTAGTTTTGAAGGACGTATACAGTTTGTAAAGTCACAGTTTTGAATTTTAGATGAATCATCAGAGCTTAAGTTATGAGTGTTAGTTGAAAGAGGAGAGTTACTTCCGTTGTTAGTATTGGTTATTTCATTAGAAGGCTTTGCAACTTTTGGAGTTGCATCAGAGCTTTGAGATTTAATATCTGGAAAAAGAAAAGATTCTTTAAGATAATTGTTATTAATAGGAGTGAGTATGATAGGTGACTTACCACGTGGATCCAGAACAGTATCTGTAGAAGAATAGTTGTTAGTATTATTCATGTTAAGAGTAGCATTAATATAATTTTGATGACGAGGGGTAGGCAGTTCGGTATAATTTTCAATTTCAGGTTCTTCAAATTTCGATAGGGTGGCAGTATATTTTTTGCTTTGCTTTACCTTTTTCCGAGCATCATTAAAATCAAAGTGTTCCTCTAAACCCCCTACTGTGTTAGGACTGGAGGGCATAATTTCATCAACGCTCTCACCACTAAGTAATCTATCTAGAATTACTCTCCGTATATTCGGTGCAGCAGTAACACCAGAGTTATCAAACTGCGGTTGCGTATTTCCAAGATCATCCATGACGTCCTCACTATATAAACTTCGAATTATTTCTTCTTCCAATTGATCCAAGTTTTCGCAAGAATCGAATTTACTTGCTCTCTCGAGACAAGACTCAAAGTCAGATCTAGGATTGCTCCTCATACTGCTGCGCGAACTGGATCTAGACAACATACTTTCGTTGGGATCTTCAAAACTGGAAGACACAACAGATAACCTAGGATCAATGATTTCACTTTCTGTGGTCTCAGAAGAGTTTTCAAAAAAGGAAGGTAAAGTTGGCAGTTGAACAGTTTTTACTGGCTCGCCCGTGTTTTCTTTATCATAAACGTTTTCAGATTCAGCAGTAATTTCGACATCTAATTTTGCTGAGGCCGATGACGTTGGGATGTAACTCTTTTCCCCTAAATCCAAAAGTTTATTTCCACTTTCATCTTGTACGAGTGTAGGTGTTTGTTTATTTTGAGATCCTCCATCTGCTGTCTCAGCTTCAATATTTATCTTTAAATGTTCTTCGTTGAGGTTTTTATTAACGCTTGAAGGTGCATCGTTTACGTTCGTAGAATATTCGTCTGTAATTCGTTCTGGATTGTCATCTGAGTTTACATCATTTTCTGGAATAGGTGCAAGAAAGTCTTGTTTAAGAGCATCGAGAGCGGTTTTAAGATCCGGTGAAACGTAATTAACTTTTGGAGGCGTTTGAGGGACACTATCTGGCGAAACTTTTAAATCAACATTATCAGGTTCTTCTGGTAAAATATCCAAATTTCGGAGCAATGCTTCAAATTCTTTATCGATATTTCTAGGTATGGATAATTCAGTTGTTGTAGCAGATGAATAAGTTTTGGGAATAGGTGAATAAGTTTTTGGAACAGGTGAATCAAACTTTGAATCGTTGAGGTCAAAATGCACAGTCTTAGCTTTACTTGGTTTAGGCGAATCAGTTCTGTCAATCTTCAAAACAGAGGTTGGACTATTAGAAGATCGAATTATATTATCTTTAGTTTCACTATTCGATTTTAATATCTTAACGGCATCTTTTTCGCGGTTGTGCGATATTTTAGGATTTGATTCAATGGAATTTTTTAAATCTGAGCCGGACTTTTGCGATTCATCAATTGTATCAACAGAATTTGAAGGAACACTTTTAGGATCAGCTGAATGCACAAGAGCGGAAGTTTCGTTTACAGATAAGGGCAACTGAGAAGCTGAATGCTGTAAACAACTTCCATCAGTCAAACTCTTTTCTTCCTTCAGTAATTTTGCTGACGTCGGTTTAGGAGAAGAATCAGCTGTGGCAAAAGGCGTGGCATATTTTAAGAGCTTAGAAGAATCCAACGGAGCGACGAAGGAATTTTTAGAACTTTTGTTTTCATCTGATACAAGTCCAGGAGGTTTCGAAGCAACAGAAGATGGAGACCATCTGGAGGAATAACTACCATAAGGTGAAAGAGAAAACGTGGGCCTCGTAACAAGCGGTTTTTTGTAATTGCAAGCATCATCCCACTCATTAGAACAGGTCTGGACCGGTACATCGACCGTGGAGGCGTTTTGGGTCTGAACCCCGACCTCGTCATAAAACCGCTGGTTGTCATCTGTCTGCACGTACGAATCTTGCCTTTGGGCGATTTTAGATTCTTTTTTTCGACGTTTGGAAGGCGAGAGCGAAGGTATAGATGATGAAGAAAAGAAAGGTCGCAGAGAAAAAGAGGTCTTTGGTTTCAAAGTGAAGAAACGAGGTGTTTTCTTTTCATTACCCAACCCGGTGAGCCGGTCTACTGACCCAGCGGCACTTGGAAGCGTGGCTGAAGATGACGCTGATGACAAATCTTGTTTTTTGATGGATGCGTCCACTTCAGAATGACTCACATACATGCTATGCCTTTGAGACGGGAGTTCATTATCAAAGGGTGTATCCACATAAAAACGAGATCGACTGGAAGCCATCGCTTTTTTCATCAATCAATTATTTTATTTCCATTTGACAATAATATCTATTCATTTGAACTTTCCTACAGAGACTTTTCACTGAGCACAAACATTCAACGAAATCCATTTAAAAGGTTCCAACAATTAAATTGCAAAGTAATTTTCGTAGAAAAAGCTTTAAAGTTAAAAGAAATAATCATTCATGAATGAATGTAATTAATATAATAATGTATTCAATGCAAATATTTTTTCTAAAGCGGGCGCTCCAGAGAAATTTGAAAAAAACATGTTTCGGTGAAGGAAAGTCTGATATACATCCTTCGGATGTTACCCGTCTCAAAGATCTGATCCTTTCGGTTGTCCCTTTGCTCCCCATCCTCCAAAATCTTTGTTCGAGATGTGTAAGAGCGGTATTTCGGGATCACGGGCCACGTGATTTCTTGCGGTAATGACAGCAGAAAGAGCCAAATGGGAATCTACATTTTCAATGCGGCTCTTCTCTTCTTCTGTAGTTATTTTCCGATTCGGTTTTTATTTATCAAGTTTATTTTCTGCTTTGGGTCGGGCGTTCTGCTGATGTAGACATTGCAAAAAAGGTTTAATCGACGAGGGTAGCAAAAAGTGAATGATCGTTTAAAAATGTTATTATTTCATTTATTTTTTATTTTTAAAGCGCGTTTTGCATTTTTGTTATTATAAATACATATAGCACTATTTTAGAGATATTCGTATTTGAAAATTAGATTAAAATGCAAATTTAGTTAATGTAAATAATAAAGGGAAGCATTTTTGAAAAAGTCGATTATCGACCCAAGGGGTCAAGGACGTTCAAAATTTCGTGAATTATTTTAGCAAATGTGATTAGCATTGCGCACTAGCCATTTTACTTCACAGACAAATTTTTCAGCCATATCTTTGAATTTGGGACACAGGGGATGATGATAGCCATCGCTGCGGTGGGTGATATTAAACAAATTCCAGTTGTAAATTAAGAATTTCTAAAATTAGAAGAAACCTTTGTCTCCTATATTCTATACGCATTGTCAGTAAAAGAAATGGGATTCAAAGTCGGTAGCTTAACTCTGAACTTTCAATAAATATGTTTGCACAGTTGCAGAACCATTCGATAAGAAAAGCCGAACAGATATCATCAAATTACAAGATTGTTAAGTGATTAAGCATGAAATTATGACAAATATTGATACGCAGAACAATTTAATTAAACTTTCATTTTAACGAAAATTTGGTTTTGGAAATTATGGATCAAAAGATTAATTACTTATCATTATTCAACCAAATCAACAGCTCAATCAAATAAATATTTCAATAAATCAACTACAAGCTTAGAAACTTTCAAATGTAATTCATTAAGTCAGGGATAAGTTATAATAGAACTAATCATCATAAAAGTCTTTTGTGTAATATTTTTGTTTACATAATTATCACAAGATCAAAAACATATTCGCTTCTTTTAACCTAAGGAAATAACGAAATTTAACCAACCCATGTCAGAATCGAGCAATTTTTTTAAAATTCCGATATTGACTCCTGTTAAATAATAAAAATTATAAATTAACGTTTTTTCTTTGAAGTAATAATTAAAAGTTTAGTTGGATGCGTTTAGAAACCACTGCTTAGCTATTTTAAGATATTGTGAGCGGCCGTAAAATGATAGAGTCATGAAAATAGAAATAAAATTTTATGTGTGGTTTTCATCTGAATTAAGTTTTACATATCTTTGAATTTTTTTAAGAGTATCGAAAATACAACCTCTAATTCTTAGAACAAAACTTTAATGCTAAAAATAATATTTTCCGGAAAAAATATTACATTAAAAAGAGACATTAAAAGAGAATATGTCTATCAAAAACATTGTTAAAAATGTAACGCTATCATAAAAACGCCTATAAAAAACAAACGTTATATACAAGAGCAAAACAGAAAAAATAAAAATTGATATTAAATTTTGAAAGAAAATCTTAAAGCTAAACATTTCAGTTTTTCAGTTACCGTATTTTCAAGAAAAAAGCAAAGATTAAAATCAAATAGAAACCATTTTAATTGCAGCGTTATAATAAAAACGTCTAATAGCTTTTGAAAAAGGTAAAGCTAGATAGAAACCAAAACAAAAATCGTCCTTAATTTTTAAATGAAAGATTTAACGCTAAAAATATAAACTTAACTTTTGTCACATAGCCGTATTTTCAGAAAAAAAATTACCAAAAAAGAATAACGTTCATTAGAAACGCTCTTTAAAAAATGCTGTCATAATAAAAACATTGATGATAAAGAAGAGTTAGTTAAAAAAAATCAAAAGAGAAACAGAAAAAAAAATGTTCTTAGTTCTTAAATTTAACTTTAACGTAGAGAATCGCAGTATTCTAGGTTACTTGTTATCTGCCTTACCGTACAAGAAATAAGTGGCAATAAAAGAATAAAGTCTATTGAAAACACTCAGTTAATATGCTTTGCTTTAGTTAAAACAGTTAAAAAAAACATGCAAAAATGAAACAAAAAAAATTTTCTCCACTTTTAAAACATAAAGTGATGAAAAAACGATGAATTGACTTGCCTAAATGTAATTAAAAAACAAAAAATCAGCATTACAAAACTGATGGTTTAGTATAAAGTAGTCTAGTTTTTATTCTTCGAATTTCACTCTTCCATGTGTCTTTCAGAACTTAAAAAATATGCGTAAAAACTGTTTCTAATAATGTATGGTAAAAATTACGATTTTAAATTATTCTTTATTAAATCTATAAAAATTTCCCCCAAAAAACCTTGGTCGGAAAATAATTTTCCAAATAATACTCAACAAATCATAGGATAGAATCTGATGGGGTATCTAGGTGAGAATTTTGTGGTTTTTAGTCCAGTTAACATAACTGTTAACTAGTATAACTGAGCCATTGTGGTTATTGTATTGACCCCTTCCAATCGAATCCCAACGATAACTGGTCGATACGAATTCTGCTCCCGTGTTGCTCCGACCATAGTGCCGACGTAAAATATCCTTAGAGATAAACGGCTTATGGGTTAGAATCCCTTTGCGATTGAAATAACCATGGGAGGTTTTTCTTGGTTTTCCACTTCGTGAAACGTAAATGCGTCTTAGCTCCATCGAAAAATCCTCCGCAAAGGCTGCTTCTAATGCTTGATCCAGGAATTACTTTGTCGTTTGGGTTGGATTCAAAATTAAGAGGCTACGGAGTTGAACATTGGTAGTTGTAAACCCAAAAATGGGTTGGCTGCTCAACGCCAGTTGTAAAATAAAATAAAATGATTTTAACTAAAAAAGGAAAGAAGCTAAATTTCCCCCGATGCGAGACTGGCGTTTCCTTGTCTCCTGATTAATTGAATTATAAAATAGTTACAAATTTTAACTTGAAACCCATTATCATGATAAGTTGTATGTCGACAAAGTTGAAATATAGAAACTATTCATTTGTGTAAGTACTTTTAGATGAATTTAAACTTTTTCTTCTCAATTTTAAAATTTTTGAAATTTTCTTTAAGTTTTAAATTTGGCAAGTTCAGTTACAAATAGTAATTATACGAAAATTTCAAATTAGTTAATGCATCTGTAAAAAGTGATTAATTTTGTAATAAAAAAAGGTAAAAAATTAGTTAGCAATTTAAAACATTCACAATATTATTTAATGCATCATTCATTTAAAAAAAATCAACAAACGTCAATGGAACAAACAGTTAAAAAAAAAAAATAGTCAAAACATCATTCATTAAATAAGAAGTTCAGCATTTGTCAATGCGTCGGTCATTTTTTTTAAAAGTACAAAGTTATTCTATAAGTTCTCGGAGTATGTTTCAGAGAGTTAACAAAATATCTAATTTGTATCTGCTATAGTGCTGTTTATTATTTTCACTTTATTATTATTATTCTGAATAGCAATTTAAAACTCATATCGTAGTTCGATAATGTTTTGTTCTCCGACGAAGTACAGTGAAACCTACAGGAACGACCACCTCTGTATAGCGAACACCTCTTTTTACGACCATTTTTGGGTGTCACGGAATTTTTTCCATAGACTCTGTGTTGAAGAAAACCTTTCGGAGAGATCAACAAAACCTTTCCTAGCAACCGGGCCAATATCCGCATCAGATGCGGAAAAGATCAAATAAGGAGACTCGAAAAAATATCAAAATAAAAATATTAACAAAACAAATTTAGAGAGTTCTTTTTGAAGATCTCTGAAAGAGATTGACAACCTCATATTACAGTCAGAGTGCATTAAAGACGATTCCATCAATGATTTAGTTTTAGAGTTAAAAGTTAAATTAGAAAAAAAATGTTATTTAAGAAAAAACTAAGCATTTCAAACAAACCTCTCATTTTTTTAAAGTAAATTAATTTTTATGATATAAAACTAAATGCAAACTTACACAAAAAACGTAATTGTTTATTTATTTAAATTAATTCTATCATTCACATAATTATATCAGTAGGGGTCATTTTTATTGACGCTGAATTTTATTCATCGACCCGGTTTCATGAAGCCAACACAAGTGACATTTCTGCACCAAGAAAATGACACTGAGGAAAATTAAAATCGCTTGTGGAAAATCATGTACTTTCGATAACATTCTGAAGTCTATGGAGGTCGGCAGCAGCAGTCGATGCGGAATTATTATTGTTTGCAAAATGATTCGAAAAAAAAATTTATCAAACGTTTAAGTCGTCTAAAATCTGGGTTCTCTTTAAAAACAAAAATAAAGGGAGGGGGGAACTAATAGTATTTGAATTTAAAAAAAAGCAAGTATTTTGAAAATTTCCAAACTCCGTTGACGCATAACTTTTCTGACGTTTCGAGTTATTTCCGTTCGTAAACACTGTCTGAAGAAGTACAGAGAAGCAGTCATAAATTTTCGTCTTAACCTCCATAAGTAGACTGGCACAAGCCCAGCCTTTATTTTTTTTCAACCCACCAAATTTAATGCAGGTTTAGAGACAATATATATTAAGTGGGCTTTTGTTATTACACGGTTTCTGATAAACATTAGTTTTCTTTTAAAATGCGCCTAAGAAAAATTAAACAAGTGAGAAAACATCTTGTTCTGTCTTTATTACTTAACATGTCAGATTACAAACGCTTACGAAGATGTAATAAGAAGAAATTGGTGTTTATTTTATTCGAAAGTGTGCTGAAAGCGAAAAAAAATTTAACAAAACAAAATGTTTTTTTTGGTATATTTTCTCATATAATGAAAGTAATATTGAAAGTTTAAAAATTCACGTAATATTAATTTGTTAAATTAGTATTTATTAAACACTTTTATAATATTGTAACATTTAAAATGAAATTAGTTATTCAAAAGTTATATTTTAATGATGGACCGAAATTTTAATTAAAGATTTGATAATAATATTGGTTGTTTAATATAGTTTGACTATTAAACCTTATTTTAAAAACATTTTGTAAAGGCAAGTTAATTGAAAGATAAATTAAATATTAAGTTTGAAAGGAATTTTCAAATTGCTTAAACTTGTATTATTTAAAATAAGGAATAAAATAAATTTTTCCTGGGCTCACGTTAAAAAACTGTAAGATATTCAATTATTGTCAATGATGATCTTTTGAAAGTAAAGGACTTTTATGATGATTGCATTTGCTTACTATGAAGCACTTCATCGCTTAATTTAATCAAACCCCATTATGAGACAATCATGAAGTAGAAAAATATAAATTGATATACATTATAATTTTGAATTTTCTTTTTTAATTTGAATGAATAAAATATACCGTATATTTCAAAATCACTTCAACGCGAGTAACAAACGCACGAACAAAAATTTTGATACGAAAATATTATTATTTTTTTAAAAGGTCAATAATATGCTTTTAAAAATAAAAGTAAACAAGTTAATAATAATAATAAAAAAAAAACCAAGAGCTACCTAAACAAATAAAACAAAACAGTGAAAAAGTTTGAAAACGTAATATCGAATTAAATACATAAGTTAAAAATAAATAAATAAATAGTCACCTTAGTAACGGTAAGTATTAAATGATTCACATACGCTTTTTATTTACTATTTGACATGGGGTTGAATTCTAGATTTCCTCTCCCCAAAATAACAAAGATTTAGATGGC